GTATACAAGTAGCTGGGCTCCAGCTCATCGGGAGACAAGGCCATGTGAGACAGCAGGCAGGGCGGGCAGCTCGCTGCACCAGGGACGTGCTGAGGTTAACACACACTGCAGGTGAAGAAACTGCACCAACAAAAATTGGTGCTTGTTCTTTTTATTTTTCAGAGTGGAATGAATCTAGGCTTGCTCACTAGAGAAAAGTGTGATCAGTAAAGGAAAATGAATAACTGGTGTCTGACTACAGGTTTGGAGAAGACTTCACTCACAAAGGCAGGGTTTGGTTTCACTGGCAGTGGAATGTGCCCAGCAGGCAGACATTATTGGGAAGACTTAGGGCATCTCTGCAGAAGTTCTAAAGGAACAAAGTGATCATAAATATCAAAGCAGACAGGTGTTAAATTGCTCCACACCAGCTGGCGTCTTTTTGAATTCTGCAGTTTTGTGTTGTGTTTTAATATCAGCTCCTGAGCTGTTCTTCAGTCGCCACACTGTCAGCCTGCAATCGAGTGAAGTTCTGTGCTCTGACCTACGGGTCTCATTTATCAACCATTCTCAAAAGGCATTTCAAATATTTTATTCTAATTAGCTTTTTCTGTAATAGTAATTATTTGCTGATATTTGATTAAGTTGCCATTGTACTTTCCATCCCCAAGAATACAAAGCACTTCATGTGGAAGAAGGGACACACAGCGTCCATTTTGCACCAGCAGCCCCACCTGGGAGACACACAGTGATCATTCTACACCAGCAGCCCCACCTGGGAGACACACAGTGATCATTCTACACCAGCAGCCCCACCTGGGAGACACACAGTGATCATTCTGCACCAGCAGGTCCACCTGGGAGACACACAGGGGCCATTAACTACTCTGCCAATGGAATTAACTTTAGGAACTTTAGGGAGTCCATGATGTTCAACCCTAAAGTCGAATTTATCCAGAACCCCAGGGTTAACAACATTACTTTGAGAAGCAGAGCATGGAATCTTTAATGACCAAGTAGTCAGGAATTTGGTTTAATATCTGAACAGTAGCACCACCTACAGCAGTGTCCCTGGTCTCTAGACTTCTGTATTGGACATCAGTTTGGAAATTTTGGGAAGAGTGCCTCACAGTTTAACTTACAGTTAAAAACAGAAACCCGCACGAATAACATGCAGATGACTAATGTGCTGCTCTTTTTTCTATGCATATTTACTCACATTGTTGCTTGTTATGATTAATTAATTAATCTACTGAACTGAGTAGGTCTCTGTGATGTGTTCATCTTGGATGGAATAAGAAACGGTCTGCAGTCGGTCACTATCGAGCGTACAGCACTCACTGCTGGTCACATCTGTCGCCAGAGAAATTACATCTACCATCCGATTCATCTCTCACTTCCCTGGCCCTGACACAGCTATTTCCATCTGCAGAAGCATTTAAAAGAGCTGAAAGTACCGGCATCTTCAAATAATATAGCGGTTGAGATGGAAGTAATTATCCTGTTACGGGCTCTTTCATTTCTACTGTGCCGCGATGCTGCTGAGCGGAAAAGACCGGCGGCTCCATGCGGGATGTGTTGTCTTCAGAGCTTCACTGCTCTCGGAAGAGCAGGGAAAACATTGGGAAAGCTGGGAGAGGGAGTCAGTGGGTGAGCATGCTCGGACGAGCAGCAGCCAGCTGTGAAAGTTCTGAGTGGAGTTCTCTGACAGCACGGCTTTGGGCCTTCGGAACAAGACGCAGCAGACAAACAGGATTCGATTGCGCATTTAATCGAGAGCCGACCAGAGATCTCGAGAGCTGGGAGTCGCCCCGTCTGTTTCATCCAGGAAGTGGATGACTGAGCCAGTTTTCAAAAAGAAATAAATCAGCTCTTCCTTTCTAATCATGTAATGCTAGCTGTTTTCATAAAAATAATCTGATTTGAATGAGATCTCTGTCTGACTCCAGTAAATGGCGTGTGGTCTCTCTGCTCAGCTCCTAGGATCATGTCCAGTATTCAGAGACAGAATAAATGGGTTGTTTTCTTCAAACTGTAAACTGATAAACTAAAAATATACAGACTGATGTGTGACACATGCACATAACAATTTGAGTACTTCTTGTGCTGATGCAAAAACCCAGAGGTCTCCTCTATTCTCTTTCCATACACCACATCAAACAACTGCACGACGTCACTGACTCAAGACTTTCACAGGACTGCTGGATTCTGACTCTCGGATGGAGAATTGGGAGTGAGAGCCTGATGTTTTCTTTAGATGTGGTTATAGCAATGAAGTCAGATTGATACCTCTGACATTTCTGCAGTGAAATCTGTGAGGACGTGGTCTGTTTGCCTTCACACTAAGATTCTGAGATGCTTTCCCTTATTAAGGCTGTTGGAGACAGGCCCATCAGTAGTGAATTATTGATTAAAAACCCTTCTTTCTGCTACTGCTTTCTTTTTAAGACAGCCTAGGAGCACAAGCTACCAAAGTTGCTGTAATGATATACATTACTCACTAATAACAACGTGTGCAAAAGTGTTTTGACAACAGGACTAAACAAATTGAACAATCAGCGTCCATTATACCTGCTAGATGCCTTTGATGACAGATTTACATAAGAGACAATATTGTCGCAATAAAAATTGAAATCTATGTCACTATGTAACTTTTCTCTGGTTGAAATGCTCATTTTTGAGATTGTGTTTGCAGATTCGAGAGCTTTGTCAGTCTCCACATGGTCACTTTCAGTTGCATGAAAGAAGTGGACAATCGCACTGAATGTAAAGGTTTTGCATATCAAAGCCTAAAGAAGATGTGAAAGAAAGGCCCTGGCCCTTTAAGAAGAGACTGGCTGTTTTGAATGCTTTATGTGACACCATCAGACCTACTGTATAGCCATCTGGCCCAGAGCATGGCAGCCTGTCGAGCCTTGATTCCCTGAGTCTAAAGGACAAGATAAGCAGCAGACCTGATGGGCACAATTGGAAAAATAACCTGTTTTCATTAGGGATGACCTAAAAGACATTTAAAGCATGACTGAGTTTTGGAACCAAAAGCATGTGGGGCATTTTCAGTGCCTCCCATTAATTATACAGAACAGGACAATTCTGGCTCCAGTACATATGCAGTATATGGAACGAAACCAGTGTCTGTGTTTCTCATGTTAGAGGAACATCTGTCCTGACAGCCGTGCTTGCACACTGGCGCCGCTCTGCTGGTGGGCAACGTCATTTGTACACAGGACAGGGGTGAGGAGGGCATGCCCTGCCAAAGACTGAATCAATGTTTTGACTTTTAATAAAGAACAAAGAAGGCCAGTGTGTTTCTTTAGAGGGAATTCTTTATTTACACAAGAAACACCATGCCCTGACATCCAGTTCTGCATGCCTCAGGAACACACGGAGCACGTCAGGTGCATTCCCTGCCGCAGAAAGGCACTACATAAGAAACAAACGAGCAAGGGTCTGTAGGAAACAGGAAAGCTGTCAGAAATGTCATTTTACAACAGCTATTCGCTATGTGCACGCTAGTATTTCTCCCTCAGCCCACTGCAAATGCTAATTTAAAATGCTGCAGAAATAATTTCCTTTTTCCACTACAATTTGCAAAAGATTTTGGCTTGGAAGCCAGCCTGTTATACAGAAAGGTACCCAGAGTTTCCTTCAAGAAAGACAACTGTGCGACTGCATTCAGAGAAAAGTAAAAGTAACAGATCTCACACTGAGTGAATTTGTATCTGATGAGAGCTTGTTGTTATTTTATACTGAAAATAAAATACAGAGATCTTATTTGTAAAAAGAAACCAAACACACAGCTCAGGATTGCTGTCTTGAGGATGTGAGTTTAATAACAATTGTATTTTTTTTAGAAAATGAATGACTCTGATATTTCCCATTTGTAAGGATTTGGTTATGATGTCTCAAATTAAGAATGTAAAGATGACAGTTTGTTTTTCGAGATCTGGAGTTTGCGGAAACTGTCAGAGTAGGACATTATTTAATTAATTTCAACAGGTGAGATAAGTGCTTAGCAGAGGTCTTAAGACATCGAAACTGCATCTTTCTGCAGAATATTTTTTCCACGTTCAGTCATACCGTGTTCAGGAATATACTGTACAGTGACATGGACAGCTGGGGAAAATAAGCTTTTCTGAGCTTTCCTTCCTGGAACTGGCAATTATTGATAATGTTTTCATCCAGTTTTGCTTGCAGATATTTAAAAAAAACAAGAAACTAACAATTACAATCAGAATTTCTTTTTGCCAAGTAATTTTTCAAATTACAATCAAACAATTTAAATAAAATCTTTCAGTTACTTACAGCAAAACATACAAAATGAAACCCATTAACATGCTAATGTAGACTAAAAAGGAAACCTTTTAGACATACACAGGTTCAACGCATTAAAACCCCAGTCATGCAACCAAGAATACTTTACTTAAACTTTTCATTATATTTCTTAAAACTGATCAAATAAAACACTTTGACTATTTGCTGATATGTACAAAATTTAATAAAACCAAAGAGAATTTTCTGCTCACTTGTATTCCAAGATAATTAGCTAGGAATTAACAGCGCTGGTACTGTACATGTAAGAGTTTCTTATGTGTGTCTCCAGGGTTCAGAAATATTCAGACTTCTGAAAATGTTTCTTTCATGTTGCTCTAAACCAAGAATAGATTAACACTATCTACTGTTTGAATGTAACAAGTAAACTAACTGTAGCAGGAGGACCAAGTGGTTGATATTTTAGGAAATGCAGTAGCTGCTTCCACATGTACAGTAATTATTTATGATGTCCCTGGGAATCCACTGAACAGCTCTTTGCTCATACCAGTAAATGGACACTCCCTTGAGAATTTTGTGCAGAATTGCTTGTTTCCCATAAAATCAATTATGTTACAGAGGAACAAGGAAAGGTTTTTTCCATGCTGAAAAGAGAAGAAAGGAAACACAATGGCTGTGGAGCCTTCTTCAGGTGTGAACACATCCACAGCCAAATAATTGTTTCTTTTCTTCTCTTCTCAGTGTGGAATTAACCTTTACGTGTTCCTTTGCAGCCTACGCCTGCTGATGCAGCTCCCTACAGTACTTGAACTAATTACGTTACAGTACCATTATGTTATACAGCAAGAGTAGCATGTTGCTGTTTGGGCTTTAAAAATAATTTTCCTTTCGATATATAACTAGTTCCACACTTGACAAGTGGTATGTAAAAAACTCTGTTAGAATAAATTGCTGTTAAAAAGTGCACAATTAAAACTTTTATATCACAGTGAAAGTTATAACTCAGCATTCCACATTATTAAATCGTGCTCAGAAGATGACACTTGTAGAGGTTGGCCTGAAATCCAATCTTCCATCCCACCGTCAGTAACTCTTACTGATGACTTTACCCTCAGTGCCCTGTAGTGAAAGTACAAAGAGAATCGGCTTTGTCTTCAACACGTCAGCATCGCAGCGTAGTGCGAAAGGAACAACGGAATATGCTGACTCGTGAAGCGTGCTGTCTGTGTGCTGAATGCACACATTGCAAAACAAGGCTGAAAACTTGCAATGATTTCAGCATAATTGTTAGAATTAAGAACCACAGCCTGATTGCGTGAGCTTCAGTGAAACCCAGATCCACCAGTTCAGGGCTGACAAGCTTGTAGCCTTTGCAGAATGTGGATAGAAACCGCTCCTTCTTTATTTCATGGAAGATTTCACTGTGACAGTGAAAGAAGCTGGTTGAGTATGGCTACTTCAGGGGCTCCCCAGCCTGAGCAGACTCTGAGGGCTCAGTGGTGCTGAGACTCTGCTCACAGGAGGAGCAACGCTCTTCCCACTTCAAGCGGTTTGCAGCGATGCCATCCAGCATGGGCTGAAGCTGCCCGTTCACCTTCACCAGAGCCTGGAAGACACAGCAGGGGCCAGAGCGTCAGACCGCAGCCCTCTGACTGGTCAGGCCGCCGCCTGAACACACGGCACGCAGAAACAAGCGTTCAGAAGCCACGGGGCTCTCACTGTCCTCCTGGTGACTTTAGAAATCCAGAATGACAGCTCAGAGCTTGCCTTCTTTTGCACAATGTCACTCGAGTGAGTAAATGCCTATGTAATGGCTGGCTGAAATATTAAATGAAAGAGAAATGACTGATGTTTTAAATGAGTTTTGCACACAGGTGTGCACAAGGACAAAATCAACAACACGCCTCAGGCTGAGGAAAGACATAGTTACTTTATTAGCTATTTTGTATTGTCCGGCAGGTGCTACGGACAGGGTTAGAACCCACTGATGGGAAAACTATATCAGACATAACGAAAAGGGTGACATAACTGAAATATGTAATTATAGACCACAATGTCTGATGTCTTTACACCTTACATGTAAATTTATGTAAAAATGTATGGAAAAAGTTATCTAAATAATGGGATAAGTATCCTTGGGAATATCCAACATGGATTTAGAAAAGACAGGTCTTTCATGACAAACCTCTTAAGAGTTCTTTGAACAAACAGCAATAGTAACAGATACACACAAAGCATGTGATATGTTGTATTGACAGTTAGAACACCTTTTAGAAGTTCTTCATAAAAGATTAAATCTCCAGTTACAGATGGCAATCATCTGCGTTGAATTAAAGATGGGTTAATGGATGCTTACCAGTGATGAGAAGGGTTTATCTCACAGTGAGATAATTACTGAAGTACCAGTGGGACCTGCATGAGCACCACTGATCTGCCTGTTTAATGTCAACGAATAACACTGATCGAGCAGCAGAATGCACCTCCTACATCAGAAAGGGAAAAACCACACTACAGGACCGGTCAGAAACCCATCATTCAGACAAGTGCAGAGTGTGAAATGCAGGTAGAAAAAACAGATACTTTTTCTCAGGATTAAAAACTGAGCTAGAGATCAGTAATCTGCAGCACTGTGAACAGGAAGCAGTAATCTACACACTCTGAGAAGGGATTGTGAATCTACAGGCTCTGTGGAGGGATCATAAATCTACACAGTGAGCAGGGATCAGGAATGTACTGCACTGTGAAGAGGGATCATGAATCTACACACTGTGAGCAGGGATCAGGAATGTACTGCACTGTACCTCATAGAGGGGCTTACAGATGCCATCAATCCACTCCAGCTGCAGGGCAGGCAGCTCATCCTTCCTGTTACGGTCGAAGATCGCCTGTAGGAGACATCAGTTAACTGTTCTTACTGTTTGTAGATGTTGCTGGCCCTGTCACTGATACACACAATGTTGAATACAGTATCTCTTTTTAAACCCACAGTTACTTCATGGAAATATGGTGAAAAATCTTTTCAGTCACCAATACTATACTAAGTGTAATGTTCACTTTCACCTTTGTTTTCTCAAAAAATATATCTGCTAGCTAACTTTCCGAACACAGCCTCCTGTTTCAAGAGAAGTTTTAATGAGAAAGGAACTAGGATTAAAAAAGTGATAAACTAACTTTCTGTTTATTTTTCAACATTGTTTTATTGCCTTTAGTGACGACCGTGTTAAGCATCCACATAAAAGCGAAATAAAAATGGATTTAGAGCTGAAAGGATCATTGCTGACATTTGCCACCGCAGTGGAAGCCTACTGCAGTCTTTCTGATGTTCCTGTGTAGAAGAAACGTCTCACCACATTATAAGCAAATTTACAAGCCCTTGGGAAGTGAAAGCACAGTGAAGGCATGTTACTTAAATCCTGTACTAAACATGGAAAACAAGCATAAATTATATCTTGATTAAAAACTGAAATGCAAAACAGCTGCCCTGTTTGACTGCTTTCATGTACATAAATAAAGTTGAAGGCACGAAACTTTAAAATTTGAGACACTCATTAATTAGGTCAGTTTGGCCTCATCCTAGCAGAATTTTCAGATGTCTCCCGGGTTACTAAGAAAATAAAGGGGCTGAGTTTGCTGTTTTAATTGGAAGGCACTGACAGTCAGATTTAGAGCTGTAAGTCAGTCCATATTAGCTGTAACTTTTAAGGCGCCAGGCTTATCTGCTGAGGGATACATCTGAGAAAAAGCGTGCTATTCGGCCACACAAACAATAAATCCTGAGCTCTCTGTGCTGGAAATGGCAGGCTGGAGCTTAGAGCTTGATCTGAGCAGCTCAGAAACTCTAGGGCAAGCCAGTCAGACAACAACACGTGGGAAAGGAAATATTTGTCAGGGCAAATCTGCAGAAAGGACTCTGGAGCCGAGCTGAATGTTTTGGCCGCTCATGACTTTCCAGTCTGGAATTACACCACATCCCTGCGAGCTCCGAGCAAGGTCAGGTGACGGGAGCGAGGGCAGGAGAGTCACAACACGATGAAGAGTGATGCAAGGTCACACAATAACAGGATGTGTGCTGTATGTGTAGCATATGGAGCCGATTAGAAAGGATTTGCATGACTTTGCATGTTAAACAGAACAGGAGTCTCCAAGGACAAGTACTTTACGACTGACCAGATCAGCTGAGATTAAAGACACGACGGGGCTTCTTGTCTCCACATTCTTGCTTGTTTTTGGCACAGGTGCTGGCCGGAGCCCAGAGGGACAGACGAGTGCGGGAGGTGTCTTGTTCACTCTCCAGCAGTGGGCAGATGCAGTGTGCTTTGCTGAAGTGTGACGAGGCCCTGTGTTATGAGCCATAACCACAAGCAGCTCGATTCGCCGGCCAGCAGACTCTGGGCCCAGCTGCCCTGGGCCCAGAGTCTGCTGTCCCGCGGGACAGCTGCCTCGGCTTGCGGGTCACGAGAAGACTCAGCCCCTCCCGCCTGCACGAACGTCAGGTATTCAGAACCCTCAGGGGGCCTGGCACCAGCACCACCGAGTATTGCTGTAGTCGACACAAACCTTGTAATGGATGTGATTTCTAAAAGGCCTTGGCACACAAAGGGGATTTCAGGTTGTGATGAGGATTGGTGACGATCTTTCCAGACCTTGTGAGTTTTGGTTTCAGGATCAGAAACTTTCCCCTTGTAGAGCAAGTGTGCACTGAAGTTAAACTCATACAAGTGTACTTTTCTGTCTATCTGTCTTAATAAGATTATTAATAAAAATTCCTGGTATTTGTATCCAGGGAGATGTCAAAGCAGTTTTCATTGAGGAGGGGACCTCAGTTTAGCAGCTGGCACCTCTTTCAGCAGACTGTTCCTGTCATTATACCGAGGCATTGGGATGAAATTTAAGACTAAACATGGTATAAAACTGGGATTAAGGGTATGAAAATGTCCTCTGAAAGAAAATCAACTCTATTCATTTACACAGATTTTGGAAAGACATTCCAAATGCATTGTTGATATACCAGTAAATTATTATTTCCAACAAGTGGGCTTACTTACAGATGGTGTAAGCTTCAGCTCTGATCTCTCTCTGTCCCCTTGTTCAAAAAACTCACTGGTCACCAGCTCTGCGACCTGAAACAGCACAGGGGAAGGAAGTGGGACCCACCAGCGCTGCCAGATGTGTGTTTTAATACGGAGTGTTCTGTTCTCTCTGCTCGCGGTTTCTCTGCTGCTCCAGGGTGGGCTGTTATCTCCTCAATATAGTGACCTGCTAGGCTCTAAAGTCTAGAGCACCAGAGGGGACCCAGGGTTCTGAGACTGCAACTTTAAACTCAGTATAATCTGATGTACAGTATGAACTGATAGGCCTCTCCAGAGCCACTTCCTTCTGTAGAGGCTCACGGGAGGCCAGTGCCTAACGGGAGAGACACAGGGCTCAAGGAAGGACCACAACTTGGATGGGACACCAGTCCACTGAGGGGAACGTGCACCTGCACACACACACATACACGTGCACACATATTCACACACGCGCACACATATTCACACGCACACATGCGCTCACAAGGACCGGCACATACACAAACACACAATAATCAGAGACACCGATTTCCCCAGCCTGCAAATCTTTGGAAGGTGGAATGAGACTGGTGCACTTGGAAAAACCTCAACAGACACAGGGGCACGTGCAGTCTCCAAACAGAAGGTGCTCCAGCCTGGAATCGGCTGTGCCGCTGCGATGCCCTTTCACGTGAAATTATTCAAGTGGATTTCAAGTGTTGTGCCTGGGATCAGGAAAGATAGCTTTGTAACTCACCTGTTTAGAGATTTCCCATGGACGTGTCACAGCTCCTAAATCGCATGCAGTCATGAGCAGAGATCTGAGGACAGTAGAGGTTAATATTAGTCCCAGTCTTCTAGCAAGGTAAGGAGTAGTCTACTGATGAACATTATATTCACCTCAGGAATTCTCTGTGCTCCTCATTCGTCCAGTTGAAGTCCCCCGACAGCACATACTCAAAGAACTTGCTTCTTTTCCTAAATCATGCAGTGGAAAAGTGTAAGGCATTCAATATCTTCACAGGTTTGAACAAGTTGGCGCAAAGCACTGGTTCACCCAATGGCACAGAGAACAGAGATGTGCTCTAGACCAGCAGAAGGCAGACTGGCAGACGGTGCTCTCTGTGATGACACACTGCTGTACAGAGGTGAGCTCTAGTAGAGTAGAGCCTTACAGCCTGTTCTGATTCTCCATGCGAGGAACTGTTTCTATCACAGAGCTAGAAAGTGAACGATGAAATGTTCAAAGGTTACATGTAAAACAAACAGGTGGAATGAACAGAGAAGTTGCTTCATTAGAGCAGAAGAACAGTTATAAATGAGAGGAGGCCATTCGGCCCATCTAGTCTGTTTGGTATCTAAAAGCTGATTGATCTGAGGACCCCATCCTGCTGTTTCTTGAAAGAAATCAGGGCATCGGCGTCAACAGCAAGTCTGGGTAGCTTCTTCCAGTTTTCCGCAACATCTATTATATTGAAAGCTCTGAACAAATTACCATTCAGCCCATTTTTCTCAGCCTCCCACCTGGACTGTAAACAAATCAGTCCTGCTCTGAGATAAGGAACGGTAGCTGTCGAGGTAAGGAAGCCAGCTCCCAGCATGCCTCCAGCAAGGCATGGCTTCAGTCTGAAGGGAGACGAGTCTCTCCCAGCTCACCCGGATCTCAACTGTGCAAATCGAAAAAGGATCCTGATGAAACTTAGCAACCCTTCATCGGCCATCTGTGACAGCCAGTAATGACCTATTCTAGTGTAAAACCAGTATATACAGTAGTACAACCATAATTAAAAGACATACTACTCACTGAAAATATAAGGTGAGGTCTGTCGCCAGGATGGCTTGTTTAAGTAGCTGCATCATGTTGCTGTATTCTTTGGAACAGAGATTGGCAAAGATGTTATGACCCTGTAAATAATAACGTCATGTGAAACAAATTGCTGAGAAAAGTTCTGTCAGCAACACAAGTAAACTTCACCTGACGTACAGAGCTGTGGGTCCTGAGATTCCCTGATTTCTATAGATAGGCAAGAGTTCTCGAGGAATAACGACCCAATGCGTTATAAAAGTTTATTTCCAAAGGCAGGCGTAAGAGGTCTGGCTCAGCCCGCTCGGAGGAGAACCGCCGCCCTCACTGAGGCGGAAATCAGGACGCCTGCAGTGTGAGTGGACCAGGGGGACGGGAGGAGGAGGAGGGATTCAAAAGAGAATAAATGCGATGAAGAGAGGGGCTCCCTGTGATTTTTGCAGTGTTTCAGGAAGTGACATCATGGAGGACTCCAGGTTAGAGCTGCAGAGTTGAGGGGAGATTCTTGCTGAACTTTCCTTCACAGACTGCTGGATGGGACTTGAGCCTGCAGCCCAGTGATGACAGAGGTCCAGACCACATTCTTTACTGCGATTGCCTGGGCAATAATCACTGTTCACTCTGGTTTACTGGTGCATCTGATCTGGTCCCTGACTTGTTACTGTATTTCATTTCTTCACTGCTAGCTGAGGAGAAAACGTGTCGCAAGATTCTGTCTCCACTACATTTTCTGTTTTTTTTTTTAAACATGACATCTATTCATCCATTGATTATCAGAAAAGATGCCTAGAGCCCATCCCGGAAGCACACTACTACACCCTGGACTGGACGCCAGTAATGACCAGGGTTCAGACATACAGGCCAGGAGGAGGGTGGAGCTCAGAGCACCCAGTGTAAATGCACACAAACAAGGGGAGAGCTTGCAAACTCCACACAGCAGGTTCTGCAGTCCGGAATCAAACCCAAGACCCAAAAGCTGTGAGACAGCAGTGCTAACTGCTAAGGCACTACACCCCCCAAATCACTGAAGACATGATTTAATTTTCTGTACGATTTCAGTAACCAGTTGTTTGCAGACCTGTAGCACCACAGAACCAGAGGGACAGTTAATTTTAGCAGTCAGACGGAGACTGAAAGGGGAACTGCAGTCCCACGTTCTCTGACTGGTCCTCAAATCCCAGTAACGAAATAAATTAATTGACGGTATTGCAAAATTTTGCTAATTCCAAATTGAGCACAAAATCATGAACTTTGTGAAAGTTGACATGCTGTTGAAAACCCCTGGTCTCATCATGGGCAAGAGCAAGAGTTTGCACAAAGTGTGACATGATTTGGCCCTTCCTGCTCACGGCAGAAACATTTCAGCACGATCTGCATTCAGAGTTAACAAGTAGTATTTGTTGCCAAAAATGTCTCAAAGTCAAGAGTAATATTTCTACTGTATTGAAAGGAGATGTATTCACAAGCCTGCTTGTTTTCTATGTGATAAGAACACTTCACGTCACCAGAAGTGTTTTTGCCTCATTCTGAATGGCAGAATATGGCGCTGTACATGCCCAGGGATCTTGTCTATTTAGTGGTGTAAACTGGAGATGTTTCAGGACGCTGCAGAAGGAGCACAATGTTACCTCACTCTGCAGGATCATCACCGCATGGTTGAAGTGATGGTGTTCCAGGGTGGCCGAGGTTCCATAGAGCTGAGCCAGAGCAGACCCTGTCCTTCAGAGAGAGGGGGATACACACACAGAGAGAGGGGGATACACACACGGAGAGAGGAATACACACACAGAGAGAGGGGGATACA